TTACCTGGAGGGTCGGACACAACATATTAGCCTTTTATATAGAGAGATTTTGTTTTGTTTTTTTGAGGTTTTTTTTCTTTTTTTCTATTGTCTCTGGCACTGAATAGAGTCCTGAGAGCCTTCCTTCATATGCCAAACTTTGTAAGAAGCAGGACTTTTATAAAGGGGAAACACTGAAATGGGATTTCTTTTCTTAGTTGATTTCCCAGCCCTTTCTCTCTATCTCAACCCAGTTAGAGATGTGATAATGCTAGTCTTCAACACTGTTCTCATCCAGGGTTTCTCTCTCAGGACCTATGGGTAAAGAAACTCATCGTGAGCTAAAGGGGATGGTGACAAAGGCCAGGAAAAAAACAGCAGGTCAACATTTTTCAATTAATCAGAACTTCAAAGTTATTTCCCATTCCCCATCATTACCAAATTACCTGAGGAGAGAAAATGGGCAAAATAAGAACTAATAAGGAGGGGACTCTTCCCCCTCCCCACATGGGAGTCAGTTCTGTGGGACTCTTTCTCTCTCCCCACGTAGGAGTCTGTACTTGTTCTTCAACAAATCTCCACCTTTGCTATAAAAAAAAAAACTAATAGGAAGCAAAGTCAAGGTCTTTGCACTTGTTGGAATGAATTCCCTTCAAATAGCCATATGACTCTTCTCTCACTTGAGTTAGATCTCTGCTTAAATGTCTTCTCACTGGATTTTCCTAACCACTCTGTGTGAAATCACAGCTCCCTATCCTCCCTCTCAGTATTCCCTTCTTCCTCCTCTTTGTTCTCTTTTTTTCCCCATTATACTTACCACTTCCCAACATACCATATCACCTACTGATTTATTTTGTTATCTTTTTCTGCCAGTGTCAATCAATTTTGCCAAGAACTGGAAGGCAAACAAAAGATTTATTTGGAGGCCTTAGGAATTGCAAATCTAGAAGTCACAGATTTAAGTAGGAACCCAATGTGTTCTGAGGGGGAAAGAATGAGGTAGAGTTTATAAAGACTGAAAAGGGGAGGCTTTCAAAAGGATTACATAAATTGCTTTGAAGGAGCTGTGACTGGGGCTGGCAAGGCAATTTACACATGCTATCCATGATTGATTGCTTATGACCATTTCTAGGGGGAAATTTTATTATTTAATAGAGAGTTTCGTGATGCAGAACCAGTTCCAGAAACCGTATCAGGATGTAGCCCTTTGGTTTAGCCCAGTTCAAAAGTTCAGTTGCACATGGAAGGAAGTGAGTTAGCTCAGCTTCCCAGAGACCGCCCAGCTCTATTTTACAGTGCTCTCTTGACAACATCAACTCCATTTTGCTGTTTTTCTTTCATGTTTACCTCTTTGGATTGAGATCTTTCCTGAGAAAGCATTGCTGATCAACCATTGGGAAGTATCATTGGTATGTCATTGGAAGAACAACATTGATCCCTCGTCTCCAGGAATGCTCATTCCTGATATGTCATTTTCCAAGTAGAAGAGAGAGTAGTCTCCTGAGTGTCCAGTAAGAGAGTTTATGGCCACCTCTGAGCAATAAGGAGGTTTGTCAGAAGTAGGGCTAAGTCACATTCCTATAATCAAAAGCTCCTTTGATACCCTTTGTAATACTTTAAGCAATAAAAAAAATAAAAAAATTAAAAAAACTCCACATTCCAATATTCAAAATAATTTATTTTTCAAAAAAAAAAAAAAGCTCCTTTGTAGAGGTGGTCTCAGTCGAATTTATTCATTTTAACACCTCTAGGCATTAGGCTACCATTATTGTGGTAGTGGCTGTTAGTTGTTTGATGCACCTGGTCAGACACCTAATTAAGGCAGTGAACAGCATAATCACAAAAACCAATATGATTAAGTCCTGTAATGTAGAATGAAACCCTATTCCTCTAGGCAGCCAGCTAAATAAGTCTGTCCAATCCTAACTTATAGGGTACTGTCCTGTCTGTTCAAGGACCTTAACATTTTGTTTTAGAACCTCAAACTATTGTACCACTTTATCTAATTTGTTAACATAGAAAACATTCTTCCTAAAGGGCATAAGTATCGCCTTGCTGGACACCTATCACATCTAGAGCCCTACAGTTGTGAAGTACACTTCCAGCCGGACTGTCAATTATTACTTGTTGTCCTTCAAGTTGTAGTAGCATTCAATATTTGTGCTACAAAAATAGTAAGATTTCTGATAGTCTTCTAATTCAGATACTCCATACCTGAAAGGAAGCTCTAGTGAAGGCCTACCCAAAGCTTCATTTATTATGGGGTATCAGGTGGAAAGAGGACCGAAAAGACCATGCCCAAAACACCAATTCCATTTGGTCTGTTTTGGTCAAAGTTTATAGATTGTGGATAATGGCAGAGGAAGGGAGAATCTTCCTGGTGACAGTATCAGGTGCTGATATCACAATACCGTATCTGCCTCACCATGGGGTTGACAAGGTGATATATTTGCATCCCACACAAGAAGAAACAGCCAGTACCTTCACGTGAAATTGTGTAATTAGGTCGTTCAACACAGACTTTGAGGGAAGTCCTACTTATGAAGGAGGGACTTCGTAGCCTTCATATGCTGGATAATCACAATAGTTGTCAACACAGAAGACATTCAACTTATCGTGAGAATGATTAAAAGAGCACCTGACGTTTCTATATATTTGGGTTAAGATTAAAAGAGTTTGTTTCAAGTTTGCAGGCTGGAATTCCCTAAGAGATAGATTTTTATCCATTTTACATCAAATACCAGATTTTTTTATCTAGACCCCTAGTAATATATGGGAGCAGGACATTTGCAGGACTGAGTGGCATTATTCCTTGAATTTCCCAACATTAGAGAGGTAACATAAGAAGTAATATTGTAGTCACTTAAGGCCCATTGAGTTGTGAACTCATGGTCGTTTGCATCATACAAGAGTGTAGTCATACATTTTTTAAAGGGACAAACCTGAAAGTATGACTGAACTGTTTATATTTTCAAAACAGATAGGCAAGTTATTGGTAAGAGTCCAGACTGTATTTATGGGTATTTCTTTCTGGGTTGGGGGAGCTTATGAATGGATTTGGACACAGGAAGGTCATTTGTTCCATCAATATTTTTTGAGGTTTGAGAATAAAGAAGGACTTTAAGTCTGGAGTTATGTCCAGTTACGTTTTGTAAGCTTTCAAGGTTCAAGGGCCAAACCACTAATTCTGGTTCATTATGAGTATGGCTAGCTCAGCTGCATATCCAACGGTCAGTTAAATTAGTACTATTGGGTAATCACTGGATATTGGGAGCAAAAGGGTGTTGAAGGGCAAATAGGGTAGTCATTGTAGTAAGCAGACATAAGAATCTGAGTGTGTTCATATTGAAATTAGACTAACAAGCTAGGAAAAGGAAGAATGCTTTCTTAAGAGTTTTGTTCCGGCAAACCCTGGCCAGTGTAGCTCAATAGTTAGAGCGTCGACCCTTGGACTGAAAGGTCTCAGTTTGGATTCCTGGTCAAGGACACGTACCTGGGTTGCAGGTTCCATCTGCAGCACTGTGGGAATGAGTGTGGGTAACAACCAATTAACGTGTCTCTCTTACATTGATGTTTCTTTCCCTACTCCCTCCCTCTCTTTCACTCTCTAAAAATCAATGGAAAAAATATCCTCAGGTGAGGATTACCAAACAAAAAGAGTTTTGTTCAGGAAAAAAAACACAGTTGTGATAGCAATATGATCAGTAAATGAAACAAAGGTGCTCAAAGGGAAGAACAAGTGCAAGGGTTGCTGTGTGGAATCATGTACAACTGACTGGCCTGGTCCGAGGTCTTGGGAGAGTCCTTGCATTAGGTGCCATCTGCTCCCATCCAGAATGAAAATTCTAGTGGTCGTCTTGGGTTGTTCAGAGATTTTCAGCTTAAGATCTTCAGTAGGCTGAGATGACCACTCAGGTGTGGGTATTTTTTAAATGAGAAACATGAATCTGTGAGTCAATACCTCTAAGTTTAGCAGCACATGGGTTAGTTAATAATACCTCATATGGCCCTTTCCATCGGGGCTGAAAGTCATCTTTATAGAGATGGTATTTCCAATAGATACAATTTCCAGGTTGGAGATTGTGGATTGTAGATCTTTGCCTCCCGGGAGCAAGCCATGGAAAGATTGCTTTAGCAGTGTGAGTCATAAGGGCCCTTATACATTCTTTACAATAAACAACAGGTCTTCTTCAGCAGTGCAGATTCATACATTCCTTGATCTAACCTCATAGGTCTCCAAGTAATAATTTCAAGAGGAGACAAACTATGCTTGCCAAAGGGAGCAGATCCTAGGTTGAGCAATACCAAGGGGAGAGCCTTAGACCGAGGCAGATTAAAGGACCCTATGAGTTTTGCCAATAAAGTTTTGATTACTCTTTAGTCTGTTCTACAAGATCAGAGAACTTGGGATGATAAGCACAACAGATATGTGAAGTCGGCCAGATCTTACAGACAGATTGAATAATTTGTCCTGTGAAATGAGTTCCCTGGTCACTGTGGAGCTCTGAGGGGATTCCCTAAGTGGGGAAGATAATTTCTAGGAGTAATTCATTTACTGCTGAGGCTGTGGCTATGCAGCATGAGAATGTTTCCACGCAAAGAGAAAACATATAAATCATTACTAACATGTATTTGTATCCTTGAAAAGGGGGCAACTGAATACAGTGCATTTGCCAGGCCTCAAAGGGTCCTAAAGGCAAGGGAAAATGCCCCCTTAGAGATATGAATGGGCTTTCTAAGGCTGCCCTTGGGGAAGATTTGGTATTTTTGGTCTGCCTAGAAAGCTATCTATGGAAATGGCTTCCAGAAGTATTGTTTTCCTCACAAAATCATTTTCTCAGCATTCCAGTGAGTTAAGTCATGTACATATTATAATCTGTGATGTTGTATGCAATTAGGGAGGAGTGGTCGTTCATTTGGACCTACCCATAAGTTTCTTTGAGAGTCAAATTTACAGCCTTGTTCCAACCATTTCGTTCTATTTTGTCAAACAGCTAAATGCTATGCTTCCATAATGTTACCTTTTACATCTCCAATTGCTTCAGCTGGTAGCTTAGGTGCTTTCATTGGGGGCTGAGTTTGGGTCATTGCTTAGTTTTGTAGTTTTTTTCTAATTGACTGTGCAGATTTAAAAAGAGCCCCAAGTTGGCCAGTTTAACTGTAGATAGTCCTGGATAATTATGGTCCAGCAAAACAGAAATTTGCAAGATAGGGGCTCATAATTTTGGTATATACATATAGCTGGAGTTCTAGCAGGTGGCTCTTCAAAAGCTATTCCCTTAGAAAGTGAACTTCTCGTTTTTCAAGAGTAATTATTCACTGGACAGGTGTTTTAAGTGCCATAGATAAAAAGCCAGCAACAGAGGACACCCAAACGGAAACTGAACCTCAACCAAGCAGGTGGTTCAAGTCTAGGAGGACTTACCACAACTAGATGGACTTTCACACTAGTAAAGTATACTCCTGAAGGCAGGAATTTTTGTCTGTTTTGTTCACTGATGTTTGCCCACCACCTAGAACAGTCCCTATCACATTATAGGTACTCAATAAATATTTTTTGAATTAATTAACTGAATTAATTAAATGAAAACTAGAGATAAGACCAACCAATTACCAACCTTAAGAAAAGTGAGTTCCATTAAATAGAATACTGGAGGTAGCAAAGAGAAGCCCATTTTTGTACACTACATTACTACTGCGTGGTGCCTGGAAGGATCTAAGAGAGAACCATTGGCCCCAGATTTAAAAAGAGCCCCAAGTTGGCCAGTTTAACTGTAGATAGTCCTGGATAATTATGGTCCAGCAAAACAGAAATTTGCAAGATAGGGGCTCGTAATTTTGGTATATACATACAGCTGGAGTTCTAGCAGGTGGCTCTTTCTAAGCTATTCCCTTAGAAAGTGAACTTCTCATTTTTCAAGAGTAATTTTTCACCAGACAGGTGTTTTAAGTGCCATAGATAAAAATCCAGCAACAGAGGACACCCAAACAGAAACTGAACCTCAACCAAGCAGGTGGTTCAAGTCTAGGAGGACTTACCACAACTAGATGGACTTTCACACTAGTAAAGTATACTCCTGAAGGCAGGAATTTTTGTCTGTTTTGTTCACTGATGTTTGCCCACCACCTAGAACAGTCCCTATCACATTATAGGTACTCAATAAATATTTTTTGAATTAATTAACTGAATTAATTAAATGAAAACTAGAGATAAGACCAACCAATTACCAACCTTAAGAAAAGTGAGTTCCATTAAATAGAATACTGGAGGTAGCAAAGAGAAGCCCATTTTTGTACACTACATTACTACTGCGTGGTGCCTGGAAGGATCTAAGAGAGAACCATTGGCCCAGCCAGTGTTGCTCAATGGTTGAGCATCAACCTATGAACCAGGAAGTCATGGTTTGATTCCTGGTCAGGGCACATGCCTGGGATGTGAGCTCAATCCCCAGTAGAGGGCATGCAGGATGCAGCCAGTCAATGATTCTCTCTCATCATTGATGTTTCTATCTCTCTCTTCTTCTCCCTTCTTCTCTGAAATCAATAAAATTATATTTTTAAACAAAGAGAGAGAGAACTATTGGTCTAACAATTATGATTTTGAACTGATCATGACTAAAGAAAATAGCTAAAATTAAATTTACTATGGTTAGTTATGCTACTGACAATAATTAGTGTTTCAATTTGTTTGAAACTTTAGTTTTAATATTTAAATAATTATACTACTTATTTTATACCAAATATAAGGTCCGACATTGCATTATATTTACAAGGAGCTAAGAAGCATCTATCTCAAAGTCAAGTACAATTTAATATAGTCTATCAAGTGCAATCTATATAAATCTAGTGTACAAACTAAATGAGGGTGAACATTTAAATGATTTCCAAGCCTGTATCAGGGTCTTGTCAATAACCTTCTGACACCTATTATTTGAAACTACCTTAACAAGATTCAACATTTTTGATAATTTGATAATTTTTTTTCAGCATGTGCAGACACACACAAAGACTAAATTGCTATAATGAAAGCTTTGATTATTCTTGGAATGGCTGATTTGTAAAATCTGGCAGTTAACCTTTTACTTTAATCCTTCAGGGATTACTCATTCCGGAGTCACATGAGAAATGCAAAAGGTCATTGCTGTGTTTCAGCTTCTCCACATGGAAGCTCACTTTTGCTCTTTAAGTCTGCTGATTACAATTTTTTACATGCTTGGAATACAATGAAACCTATTTTCAGTTTAATAACTATACATGAACAAGACTCCTATTTTTTCCATTCAAAAAGTTGGAACAAGAAGTAAAAACAGGATTTTAGTATTTGTAAAAGCTATCAAGCTTTAGACAGACCTTAGGAAATGCATAGTAATACATAATAGATGGTCAATAAGTAAGAACTATTAATGTTGAATGATATTTAAGTCATAACATTTGAGTGCTTAGAGGAACTTTGGAGACCTAATCTGACTGATGCTTAATTAATATTTAAATATCACACTAGATTTCAAAATAACAAAACAGCCTTTCCTTTGAAATAATAAAATATTGTGATTGCTTGACCCTGGCCTGGTGGCTGAACTGGTTAGAGCATCGTCCTGATACACCAAGGTTGCAGGTTTGAACTCTGGTCAGGGAACATACGAGCAACCAATGAGTGCATAAATAAGTGGAAAAAGAAATCAATGTTTCTTTTTCCCTTCCTCTCTCTCTCTCTCTAAAATCAATAAATGAAAAAAAATTTTAAGTTATGATTACTCAATGTATACCAGCTGGGAACCAAAATTCTGATCTCTCACCTGTACTCAGTGACATTTTTTGAGAGTAAGTGAGATGCCTTTATCCCAGCACTTAGGTAGCCACTGACAAAAGGCTGGCTAACAACTGACTAAACTATTTTGTCTAATTCGTTGTTTAGTGCCACTTCCATGGTGAGTGATTTCTGCTGAGTATAAATATGTCATACAAAGATCTTCACAAAGGGCCCTGCAGATTATGTAGCCAGCCCTGCCTGCTACTGAGCACTTTTCACCTCCAGGCACCACTCAAAGCTGACACTCTGTACAATAGTCCCCCCTTATAAGGGGGTGGGAGACTTATAGGAGAAAAACATTTAAAACATCAGAGCATCCAACTTAGAGAAAGGGTAGATGAATTAAATACTGTGGAATTCTACGTAGCTACTAAAAATTAACATACTAGCATGGTAAAAATCCCCATGTTTTTATAAAAAAGGTCAATTAGTATAATATTAGTGTCCCATTTATAGAGGACCTTGGGTGTTATTTTATATATTAGTATTGCTGGAATTTTAAATATTTACACTCAGCAGGCACTTGCATTTTAAAAAAATATATAATTAAATGTAAATATCAAATAAGTAATTCTAGGAATATATGCAGTATCATGAAGGAGAATTATTAGTATATTTCAAATAGTTAATAAATATTATATTGTAGAATTCTCATAAATATTTATAAGATTATGTTCTTGTTGAATACATTAATCCCCTCCAAACTTTCATGATTTTAACCAAATTAATTAGTAGGTCTACTGCAGAAGACTTACAGTCTTCTCTATTTTCTTATATCAGTGGTCGGCAAACTCATTAGTCAACAGAGCCAAATATCAACAGTACAACGATTGAAATTTCTTTTGAGAGCCAAATTTTTTAAACTTAAGCTATATAGGTAGGTACATTGTTATTAACTTAATTAGGGTGCTCCTAAGGCTTAGGAAGAGCCACACTCAAGGGGCCAAAGAGCCGCATGTGGCTCGTGAGCAGCAGTTTGCCGACCATGGACCTAGACGGCTACTAAGTGACTAACTGGTGGGTATGCTGGACAAAGGGATGCCCACCCGTGTGGGGGAGAGAGGAACTGGTGCAAGATTTCATCAAGCTACTCAGAATGGCGCACAATTTAAAACTTACGAAGTGTCTATTTCTGGAATTCTCCATTTAATATTTCCTGACCATGGTTGACAGTGGGTAACAGAAACGGCAGAAAGTAAAACTGCAGAAAAGGGGGAACTAGTCTATTATGGGCTGGGGCAGAATTCCTAGGTAGGATGGGTTGCATACAAAAGACAAAAGAAGTCTACCAAACACTGCTTCTTCTCTGTAATAAGAGATGCAACATGTACCAGTTTGTTTTTACTCTGGAGGCCATGTCCTGGCACATCCCTGGGCCCCTAAAATCCTTTACCGAAGTGCCAAGTTCCTGAATTTTCGTAAGGTCTATCTCCCACGCTCTGGAGCACATGTGTCATAAGATTCCAGCATGCCTCTTGTTCATCCTGCCCAATCAGCATGATGTCACCAATGTGATGGATGGATAGGATGTTCTGCAGGATGCCCAGGCAGTCTAGATCTGCTTAAGCCAACGGTCGCCAACCTTTTGGACCTCACGGACCACGGGTTGGTGACCGCTGGTTTAAACTATATTATGACACATAGTTATAGTAGGTGTTTTATCACCTTGATTTAATTCCCTCATCTCTGTCATTTACTACTGATTTTTCTCCTGGTTACTGGTCGCATTGTCCTGTGTGGCGGCCTGCGTATTTTTCTATTGGATGCAGGAACTTCTATTGTCAATTTTATGTTGTTGAGTATTTAGATTTTCTCGTCTTCCCTTAAAGAGTGGAGACCTTGTTTTGACAGGCAAGTTATGTTTCTTGCAGGTCAGCTTGATATTTTTGAGACTTGTATTTAACTTTTGTTATCATAGGTGTACAGTACTTTTCATTTGTGATAGTTTAGCTAGTATAACCTTTCTGGGTTCTCAACTGAATGTCTCTTGTGATTAAGGAAGACTTTCCCTTCTGGCTGGTTCTCAAACATCTCCACCTCCTTTAAGAATTATTACATCTCCTTAGTTATTCATGGTCTTACCTTCTGGTGCCTTTATCCAATAAAACACACCTTAGTGTTCAACGAAGTCTCAAAAGGATATCTGTGCAGATTTATGGAGCTTTTCATCTACAAAGCTTCCTCCTCTTTCTAACTTTGCCGCCCACTTCCAGCTGCCTCAGCCACCCTAAACTTAATCTCCGTGCCCTCAACTCAACTTTGTTCTACATGGGATCCTCTTTTTGATGCCGATTTAGAAGGTGCCACCAGTAGAAAATGTAAGGTTCACGGCGCAGGAGGCAAAGTCAGAGAGCCAAGCAAGTCAGAAAGGAGGAAAGGAGAAGCTTTAATCTGCGTCCCTGGGCGAGATCCACGGGTTCCAAAGGCTGGGCCAGTGAAGTCGCTCCAATAGGGAGCGGAGGCACTTTTTTTATACAGCTGCTCTGTGAGGGG